GTGGCGCTGCCTCTGGTTTATGTGGCGCTGCCTATGGTCTACGTGGCATGCTGATGTGGCGCTGCCTCTGGTATAAGTGGCGCTGCTTGTGGTCTACATAGCATGCTGATGTGGCGCTGCCTCTGGTATACGTGGCGCTGCCCATGGTCTTACTGCATTTCTGAGATATCCAGTACAATTCTTTTAGCAGATGATACAGACAATGGACATTGTGCTGTGTGTCCTTTACTTTTCCTTTGTGTTTAACGATTCTGTCAATTTCATGACTGCCGGCAATATAATTAGGGATCATAGGACCATGATTAGGAAAGGAAGTAGCAGCAGTATATGGATAGAGTTTAGAAGCATGAAAGAATGGTGCAGGGATTGAGCCCTTGCAAGGGCCATTTTGGCCAAAAACGTGACTGCCCCTCTGGGCCCCAGCAAGCCTTGTGCGGCGGGCCTGCATTCGGCCACAAGTCCGTATTTTTGTGATTTCTGCATTGTGGGGCACCAGACAGTTACCACGCGCCAGTTGGTTACAACGACACGCCTGTGTGAGCACAACATGCTGGGCCTCTAGTCTCACTTCACATCCGACATGGCCAGAGGCTCTCGGCCAATGGGAAGCAAGTGTGGCACTCTACAGGTCCCACATGGGCCCCATCGGGCTCGGCGGTAGGGTTAGGGGTTTGGTAGGGTTTTTTTTAGGGTCTGTTTAGGACCAGTGTCGTTTCAGCCCGTTTTAGGGCCCGTAGGATTCATAGGCTCGGTTAGGCCAGTTACCGGTCCAGTCCAGGACCGGCCTTGTTAGTACGCCCAGTTAGGCCAGTTTCAGATCAAGCGCCAGGCCGCCAGTCTCATTTGGGTGCCATTCAGTTTAGGCGCTAGTGCAAGGAATATGAGTGGGAACGATATACAGAAAACCAAGTTGCGAAATCACACAGATGTCCAAGTAGTCGTGTACAAGCAGAGAGCACAAATGCACCGAGATTCCATCCAAATAAGAGCAATACAATGAAGTAATGAGTCAATGTTCAAGCCCTCAGGCCACACCAACACAGTATCCAAAGTCGCTCCTCTCTGTCTGGCGCCCAGCTCCCAGCCTACCCTACTCGACTATCCTACCTACATCAGCATTCTTGCAACAGGCTCACTTCGACTCTCGAAGACCAATGTACATGACGTCAACACCATAGCCGACCTCTCTCATGTACCACGTACGTATCTCGTCTTCCCTCATCAGACCCTGTCCCCCCACACTCGCCTCCTTCCTGAAGACCACCGATCGCCCTCTCACCCCCTAGCGCCCTGCAGCCCGGCTTGGCTGCTTGCGCTACGCTGCCCAGCAGCGCCCCTCGTCACCACACACGCGCCTGCACGCGCTCTGGCCTCAGCACAACACGCAGCCTCTAACGCAGCAGCGTGACCGCATTGCCTGCGTGGGCCAGAATGTCTGCCCCTGGATGCCCTCCTTCCTATATGGAAGTGGCAGCCCCTACTTGGCTGCGTGTGGCCTGGCTGGGAAGCTTCCAGTAGCTTCCGGTCGGGCCCCAGTACCTATGCCCAGGCCCAATGCTAGAGTTGAGGGCCTGGGCCCTTTACAGTTGGGCACGGCCTGAGTCTTCGGACTTGGGCCGTTTGCTGCATTTGCAGAGGACCCGGGGTATGTACGTCGACAATGCTGCTTTTGCGTAGGCCTGTGGCCACTTCGTGATGTATCGGCCCTGCATTGTGTGTATGTGCCCAGGCGCAACTGCCATAGTCTGGGCCAAACTGTTCGACGCAGCTTAGGGAGGCTCACGCGTCCATTCAACCAACTGGCGGCTGCAACAGCCTGAGTACCCACATATGAAAAACGCAGAATTTTGGCCTCGGGTGTGACAGGGCTGAGGCAGAGCAGCGAGACCAGGGAAGAGAGAGAGGGAGAGAGTGAGAGCACACACACACACTCACTCAACTTGACACGGACTCGACACAACTCGACGGACGCAGACACAAAGTGGCGAAGTCACAATGTCCCAGTCTTGGATTCCAAACACAATGTCGCAGCAAGTCACACTGAAGCACAAGCACTGAGGCCGAAAACTGAGTGCCTGAACTCAGCTTGAGTCCAGTCTTAAGTACCGGACTCAAGTTGAGTCCGAGGGCAGAAGTGCAATTTGCCTTGGGGCTGAACTGAAAATCAAAGGTCTGAGCCTGGACGCCAGAATGCCGGATGGCGCCAAGTATCGAAATCCGAAAGTGCCAGAGGCGGGATTTGGGAATGGCGCCAACTGCAGAGGGCGCCAACAGCCAGGAACTGGAGATCAGAGACTCAAAAAAAATAGAATAGCAGCCTGGCGGGTGGTAACCCCCGGACCAGGGATCGAGCCCTGGCTGAGACCGTAAGATTATCCGCTCCCTCTGGAAGGCAACGTCCCGGCTGCCAAAGACCCAATGAATAACTGTGAAGGACGGGACGGGGCCGGTCACTGGTCAAAAAAGGAGAGGGGGAGTAATGCGAGTAGCAGGGTAATCCTATGGGGGTTCTACCGGGATGAGGGAATCAATGTTCAAGTAACAGCGTAATCCTATTGAGGTTCTACAGGGGTGAGGGAATCAATGCTCAAGTAACAAGGTAATCCTACCAAGGTTCTACAGGAATGAGGGAATCAATGCTCAAGTAACAGGGTAGTCCTACAGGTAACAGGGCAGTCCTATTGGTGTTCTACAAGGTTGTAGGTTGTCAGGTTTGAGAAAAAAAACTAAATAAATAAAAAATGTTTGTTCAATGCTCAAGTGTTGGGGTGTCTGAGGAGGTCTGGGAAAACGTCTCAGGTCTGTAAGAAGTGTTAGAGGCGAAAAATGTCTTGAGGAAGGTCTTGGCGGGTGTCGCAGAAGTGGCAGTGAGGAAGCAGTCTTCAGCAGTTTTGTCATATAGACGGCGAGGGCTTCAACTTGATTGTCCCAGTAGCAGGTTGCGTCCGGTACATGATCTGGTGATGAGGTCTGATCCGGATAGCAGGTCGCAGACTGATCTTGATGTCCATGTCAGAGGTGCTGCTCCAGAAGTCTGCGAGTTCAAGGCACCGACCAAATGGAACCGCATGGTGGCCAACCAGCTGTCATATCTCCTCGTACCGAGCTGCAGCATGCCATCGTCCTCGTGCGCTTGCCATTAGATCCATTATCGCCGGCGACGCACAGGGCCACATAGAGAACATGGACAAGAGAGACAAGGATGTGGCACAGGACAGATGGGAGAACGGGGCAAGGCGGAGGCAAAAGCGGATCAGACGGGGGGGGGGGTCAAGAGGCAAGGGCTTCGCTGGGTACAGGGATGTGTGCAGAGCAGGAATGCGGGGTTTTGGCGGGGTCAAGGTGGGGTTTAGGCAAGGGTTTAGGGTTTGAGTTATATTACGTATCTCGGAGATAGGGTGAGCACGATCATAGGCGCGAACAAGTTTCATAGCATTCTTAAGGGTAGCAAGAGGTTCCCATGTGGATTCTTCGTCAAGGTATCCTGACCATTTAACTTTGTATTATGTGATTGGTTGAGGGTGGTCAAATACCTGAGTAGTTCTTCGTCCTATGATTGCTTCAACGACGAATTCAGGGCCTGTGGGTAACATGATTGGTGGAGATCTAGGATATGGGCGGTCAGCGAATTGGGGTGGGGATTCATGGTATTCTTTTAGGTATTCTACGTGGAAGACAGGGTGGACACGACTCATGTCAGGAGGGAGTTGGAGTTTGTAGTTGACGGGGGAGGTTTGTTCAATGATGGGGAAGGGTCCGAGCCACTTGTTCGAGAGTTTCTTGGACAAGCCGTGTTCGGGTTCATAAGCGTTTGGCGGAGAGCCATACTTTGTCCCCTACTTTGACTGACACGTCATGTCTGTGTTTGTTAAACCTATTTGCTTGTTGTTCTTGTCTTCTTTCAAGGGTTTCGGTTGCTTCTCTGAGGAGGCGATTCATTGTTGCTTCCCATTCATTGAGGGAAGGGCAGGGCGTGGAGGGGTTGAGTGGCGAGGGGAGCAAGAAATTGGAGGGCAAGCGCGGATGATAGCCAAGGTCAAGGTAGAATGGAGACATGCCGGTGGAAGGACAGACAACATTGTTGTAGGCGATCTCGGCGGCGGTGACCGACTGATCCCAATCGTGTTGATGTGGATGACAATACTTCCGCAGGATTCTTTGGAGAGTATCATTCATCTTCTCGGTTTGTCCATCGGTCTGTGGGTGGAATGCAGTGCTAAACTTGAGCATGGTTTCGTAGGCTTTAAAGAGGTGTGTCCAAAATTGTGCAACGAAGCGAGGGTCACGGTCGCTGATGATGTTCTCGGGGAGACCGTGGTGGCGTGTGAGATGGTCGAAGAAGAGAATGGTGACGTCCTTGGCGTTATGCAATCTGGTGCAAGGGATGAAGTGAGCGTGTTTAGTCAAGCGACAAACAATGACATAGATGCAATCATGTCGGTGGTCGGTCTTGGGGAGACCGTAGACGAAGTCCATGGAGATGGACTGCCACCAGTGGGTGGGGATCGAAAATGATTGTAGCTTGTCAGGCTTAGCGCGATTTGAGGGGTTAACGACTTGACACGTGGGGCATGAGCGGATGTATGCTTTGACGTCGGCGAGTAGGGAAGGCCAATGAAAGTAGAGGGAGATGGTGTCGAATGTTTTCAGGAATGAAGATGTTTGGTAGTGTTGGTGTTGTGGTGCTTGGCCAAGAGCTGGGTACGGAGACCACGTGTGTCAGGGATGGAAAGTTCGACATCTCTAGAAAACTAATGCCCCAGTATTTTGGTGCGTGGGAAGTCTTGGATATTGTGGGTAGTGAAGAAAATGGTCCCTCGTACGTAATTCGTATCCCTGGTCACCTACGCACTTACCCTGTGTTTCACGCCTCAAAGCTTGCACCTTTCGTTGAGACAGAACAGCTCCTATCAAGGAGATCTATGCTGCCCCCAACCATGGATGGTCACGTGGACGTCGACAATATCCTGGAGCACAGAGACATGCTTGTTCCCAAGCCAGCTAGCAGGGGTAGACCACCTAAACCTGTGAGAGAGTACAGAGTACGGTTCAAGCATCATACTGATCGTAAGGAAGATGGATGGTTTAGAAAGGAGGAACTTGTCAAGACAACTCCTTAGATCGTGGCCGAGTATGAAAGAAAATTGAAGGGGAAGGCACCAACATGAATCATCTCAGCGGACTTTCGAAGCTAAGGGGGGATGGAATGCGAGCAATGAGCCCTCGCGGGGCCCTCATCAGACATGCACATGTTCTGGGTAGAGACCCCAGCAAGCCAAGTGACCGCCCTAAGTGAGGGCGGGCCTGAATATTTACCAGATGTTACGGACTCACCCAGGGCTCAATCCCTGGTCAGCGGGTTACCACCCGCCAGGCTGCTATTCTATTTTTTTGGAGTCTGTGATCTTCGGTTCCTGACTATTGGCGCCCGTTCTCAAATCCTGCCTCTGGCACTTTCGGATTTTGATACTTGGCGCCATCCGGCATTCCAGCACCGAGGCTCAGACCTTCGATTTTCAGTTCAGCACCAAGGCAAATTGCACTTCTGCACTCGGACTCAACTTGAATCCGGTACTTAAGACCAGACTGAAGCTGAGTTCGGGCACACGATTTTTGGCCTCAGTGCTTGTGCTTAAGTGTCACTTGCTGCGACATTGTGTTTGGAATCCAAGACTGCAACTTTGTGACTTTGCCATTTTGTGTCTGCGTCCGTCGAGTCATGTCGAGTCCATGTCGAGTCGCGTCGAGTCCATGTCGAGTCCGTGTCGAGTTGAGTGAGTGTGTGTGTGTGCTCTCACTCTCTCCCTCTCTCTCTTCCCCGGCCTCGCTGCTCTGCCTCAGCCCTGTCACACTGGTATCGGAGCAGCTTCGTCCCTCCCTCCCACCATGTTCCATCATCATTGCCGTCGACTTTGTTGCCGCGTCATCGTCGTTGTCGCTGACTTCGTTGTCGTCGTTGCCACGTCACGCCATCGCTGTCATCTTCGTCATCGCCTTCGCTACCACATCAGCGCCTCTTACCTGCCGCCTCGTTATTGCCACGTCAGCAACTCCTCGTCGCTGCCACGTCATCGACCCTGAAGTCGACGCGAAGGTAAGTTACCAGCAATTTATTTTTGTTCCCCCCTCTTCTTCTTCCTCGTTTCTTCTTCTTCTTCTTCTCCCTCTCCTCCTTCACCATCGGTGTCCTCATTTCCCCTTCCCCCCTCCTCGTCGTCATCATCTCCCCCTTCTTCTTCCTCTTCTTCTTCTTCGTCGCCCCCCTCCCGATCTCGGCCCATTTCCCTCCGCGCCGCTCACCGTTCCGACGCGTGACTTCCCGTGCACCCTTCCCCCCCCTACGTTCCCCGCTTCCCCTTAACCCCCCACCGCAATCGTATTCCCCCTCCCTAGTCCCCGATCCTGACCCCACTCCCGGTTCCCCCACCTTCTTCCTGTCTCCCGAACTCCCTCCTCCAATCCCGAC